ATTCGTTAAAATATTGAATGATGCCGTACACGCACACAAACAAATCCATCCATATATCTCTTCCCCACGCCATATTCCCCTCTCTCTTGTCCAAATGAAAATTAATAGTCTGGGACGAATAAGGGCAAGGTGGGAATAAAAAAAAGCTTCACAAATGAACAGTAAATGATTGATTGACTCTTTTAAAATAAAAAAAAAAACAGTAGGGAAATATGCTAAAATGGGGCATCCAATTTATTATAGATTTCTTAACAGCAAATCATGAACTATCTAGATAAGGGCGGTCCATATTGTTGTCCAAAAGCAATATTTAATCACAATTGGTGAGATGGCACACTAACTTAATGACATATAATAAAGAATAATGTTATATAACAATGGTGCTAGAACATCAATTTAGATGTCAACATGTGATAAGTCATAATAAATAAATCATAAATTCTCGTGTTTAATTGAACTTGTAATTCGATAACACAAGTGATGCCACCTAAATTGGTGTTAAACACCCGCGGTGATGAATAACACTTAATTTTCTAATTTGATCTACCATTGACGAAAGCATTAAATGGTTGAATAAACGATCAACTATATATAATAAAGTAGATTGCATAAGTGACACTAAGACCCTGTTTGATTGGCCATATTTTCCTAGTAAAGTGGAAAAGCAATTCCATTTTCCCACTTGTAAGCCTGTTTGATGTGTCATATTTGGCCTGGAAAATCATTTCCCATTTTCCCCTCACGTGACCTATTTTCCCCATAATCGTTGAAATAGAATTCCCGTCTCAGAGTTGGTAAAATATTTTCCACCAAAATCGGGAAAATCGAACCCCCACAAAACCGATTCCACGGCATTTTCCCCAAACCTTCTCTCGACCAAGTCTGATTCGCCCTCTCTGGCAGCACCGATTGCTGCCGTTTTCCAGTTGAACAGAGCCGACGACCATTGTCTGCGGTCGTCTCTCACGGCGAACCTTCCGTCGCTTTGTCCGCCGTATAAACAGGTAGGTTTCGTAGTTTTTAGGGTTTTTTTTTTTTGGTTTCTGATCAGCAATTTCATCATGGTGTGTCGATGTAGTTGTTATTTTTGGATATTCTTCGACCTCCCGGTACTTGAACTCCGTCTGAAGGTTCTTCAAATAAATGGGTATTTGCTCACTTATGTGTTGTTTAATGGCGAAATGTCGATCTCTGCTGTCTCTCTTGCATATAGTTTTTATAGTTGAACTTTTGCTCAACTTATTTCTGGGTTTGCCCAGAAGTATCTCTGCATCCTGGCTGGCCTGTTTCCATAGGCAAAAATTCGCCCGTGCAGATGCGTTACCCAACATTGGATACACACACTTTACTCACTGCTAGATATCTCTGTCGATTTTGCAAAACCAATCAACAAATCTCTCTTCACTCTCTGTCTATCTTCTCTCTCTCTCTAGTATTCAAACCGTTTCAATTTTATCTGTGCATATACTTCTTCTTCATATGGGATTTGACCCAATTTTTTGGTGTTGCGAGATGAACCTGTGTCGGTCACAAAATTGAGAATCCCTCTATTCAGTTTTCAACATTCCTGAGCTGGGCTCTTTAAAATCTCATTCAAGATAGAAGTTTTCCACGTGATCTGGGCTCTTTAAAATCCCTCTATTGTCAAATTTATAGTTACTATTACATTGACATTTCATATTGCTAGCTTCACTATGTCTTTTGGATGTGGCATTAGTCAGTTCGTTTCTGCCTTAGTCAAGTAGATGTACATATTTTCATGAGACTACGATGTAATTGTCATTTAATTGCATTATTGAATCAAATGTTGTAGGCTTTTGGTATTTCTCATGTCTTTCCGTCAATTCCCGAAACATCACGTTGACAATTTTTGAACGTTGTTGTAACTGCCATGGATACCTCAAGAAACCAACATCGTCGTTCGCTGCAGAGGCTGCATGGGCTACTCATAGGGATACAATGGCTGATGACATGTGGGCCGCTTACCATCCAACACAAGACGATGGAATTGATTTCGATTGATTGTACTATTCCATAATGTTATGATCACTTCCCTGTAATGTTGTGAGAGAAACGAGATGATTTTCTTCCATGTAATGCTTTGTATAATTTCAGTTTTCAATTGTCACAACGTGGTAATACAATGCTACTGATTTATTATTGCCAAAGATATCTATGCTTCGTTTCTTATGTCCCTCCACGTTGTTGTCAATTTACACGATATTATGATCATACTGTGTCCTTCATTTATTATTTTCCTGCTGCAGTGAAAAATGGCACAGAATCGACGAAGTTCTATGGGGCCTTTTCCAGATCCTAGACCGACAAACCCTGGAGATGGGAATCAAGTTGATTCGGGTAGAAAGCAAGTGGATGCTAATGCGAAGACTCGTCATGTACGTTGGAGCGATGAAATGGATGGTTTACTGATCACTTCACTTGTTGAACAAGTGTTGGATGGGCACAAACAAACTGACAATGGCTTCACTGCATTTCAAGTGTCTAAGGCAATGGAAAGGGTTTCTAATGGATGCGGGGTTATTGTCTCGGATAAGAATGTCAGGGCAAGGTTGAAGACTCTTAAAAAGGAGTACACTGAAGTGCGACAGTTGCTCAATATGAGCGGCTTCGGGTTGGACCCAGCAAGTGGACGCATTGTGGCAGATCAAGTTGCATGGGATGAATTTATTCAGGTTTGTTGTTTGGAAATTTTATCAATCTGCACTTTCTGGGTATAACATACTTTGGTGTGCATCTCTTCGAGATACGGCTGTGAAGCTCTCTTTGTCACAAATTTCATTCATTTGAAGAGTATAATCTGTGTTCCATTCGGACATTTGTGCACGTGTTCATAGCGTTAATGTTCCTTGCTTAGTTCATGTGGCGCTCTTGATGGTTTACGAAAAATTCTATTCTTCATAGCTGTAGTTGGATGAAAATCTTAGCTACAGGTAAATTATTTATCTACAATATATTTTCCACAGTAAACTACATGCCTAATACTAAACCAGGAAGTTTTACTATTACTAGTTCGTTCAGCTTATGTTTTCCCTCTCCATCCTTTTAATCTCTTTTTCGATATGCTTAATGATTGTGAAGTGTTGGATTGTTTAAATGATCTCAATGTAGGAACTCTGGTTCCTGTGTGCATTTGCTCTGTTTTGCATTTAGGCAAATCAATTCTACTGTATGATTATCACTATTTAGAACATAGCTTTTTTGTTCCAGTTTGAGACATCATCCGAAGTAGTATGCAAGACTGTAGGGTGCTTCCGTTCTTCCTAAAGATATTGTAGGGTCCTAGTTTGTCGTGACCACTAGGACGAGAGCGATAAGAAACTGAGAAGAAGAGAAGTGATCTCAGCCACACCTGCCGAGAATTTTACACTTACCGGGTGCCCAAAACCAAGTTCTATTGACAACTCACACTGCACACACGTTAAGTTGGGTGAGAATTTAAAACTTGCTATTTATTTTGGAAATGATGCTAGTCCCAAATTGGCATGATCCAATTAAGGAAATATGAAGGTGATGGTTAGTGATAAAAGGGCCAAATTGCAGCAACAGTTTTCATCTAATAAACATGATTGACGCATATTGGGGAAGTGGTGTAAAAAGATTCATGTAGGCCATGAGAAAATGAGAGTGGGAGGGCTGTGTCGTGCCAAAAGATGAAGAGCAGGAAACTTGTGTTCTTGAAAGTGCAACGCGAGAAGAAAATGAAAATACTGGGATAGTTGAGTGTGTGAATTGGGTAGAGGAAACAGCCATGGGAAGATGCAATTTTCTTTTTCATTGCTTGTTTGAGATATTTTTAGGTAGATGCCACAAAATGGACGTGGATTCGACAAGACTAATGTGTCTTCCTGCTCATTTTTTTTCACTGGCTCTGAGTTATTTACTTTTGAATTTGTTCTTATACTTTGATGTTATTTTGAATAGAAATTGGAGTGGAAGAGATATTTTGTTTTCTTTTGCTCTATTTGAGTTTTCTTCAGAATGGCTGAAAAGATTTTATTTAGCACAGGTTCTATTTGCTATTTGTATTGGTATCACTTCTAAATATGATATGGTGAAAAACAATGATTCCTATATACTTGACAAGAATTTCCTGAGCAAAATATACTGTTTTTGCTAATTAGAATCATCATGTGGCTGAATCATTCATCTTTCCTGCTGCAGGGAAAGCCAGAATTCGAAAAGTGGAGGACCAAACTTTGTCCAAGATATGATGAGATGGAGACTATATTTGGCAACGATGCAGCCACAGGAGATCGCGCAGTGTCTGGTTTCGACAATTTCTCCCCAATGAATGGTATGTAACACATGTTAAAGCTTCGATGCTTGTCTTTTTTTTCCTAACTTATTTGTTCTCTCTTTTGCGTAGTCACTGATGAAAGTGTGAATGAGATGGATATGGAAAATGTGGACATGGATCATAGCCCAATTAATGTTCGTAAGCGTACAGCCGAAGAGGGGACGCAAAAAGCCAAGCGTTGACGTAAACAAGCGGTGGATGAGAGTACTGTCGCCCTAATGAGGATTGCCGAGTCATCTACAAAAATTGTTCAAGCTATGGAAATGCAAGCTACGATAGATACACTGAATCATGTGAACTGGCAATTGATTGTAGAGAAACTAGAGGCATTGAAACTTGACATGAATGACGTAATGGAAGTCATGAAAGCCTTTCGGTCGGACGATGGTTTGGCGAAGGTATTTATGAACCTGACGAACGAGAAATACATGCGTGCTTTGGTTTTTGAAAAGCTTGGTCGTGATCCGCCTCCACTACCATAGATTGCACGTGTTACAGTGTGTGTATGAAGTATGTATTTGTAAAACTTAATCCACGTATGTGGTCTTTTGTAATTTCTGTAACGCGCACAGGTAGAAACTAGGCTGCAGTGTTTTGTACATGGTGGATGGATAGTTTTTGGTAGTCTCCCAGGAGCTAGATGTATTTTTTGAAAAATGGTTATTGTTTTTGATAGATTTTGTAGCCCAGATGATTTATGTGTAATGGGAATATATCATGCAACTTTGGGGTGCCTACTCTCCCATGGGTATTAATTTGGAAAAAAATGTGGGTTGTCATTTCTTTTGTAATCTACATGAACGTTCCAATATTAAAAAAACCAAGTCATAGTTGGAAAATATGGTTTAGGGTGAAACATTATTTTTTTTATCTGAAGAAAACCCACTATTGAAAAAAATGCACATATCCACCTTTGTGTCTAATCTGAAGAATTTTACTCGGGTTTTAAACCATTTTTTAACATTATCTTTTGGTCATGATTTGTTGGACATTATAAATGGCTATAAAACACCAATTGTTAGGAAAAGATTCCATAATTTTTCATGGAAAATAAAGCCTATCAAACAGCTAAAGATGGAAAATACCATTATTTTCCATGGAAAATACAGCTGAACAAACACAAAAAGATGGAAAATCTCAACAT